TTTTCTGCCCTAAAGACTACTTCAGTTGGTATAAAAGACAGTGGCTCACTTGTTAACCGGCAAAATGTGGTATGGTCTTGTATTTGTTGCCGGTTGGGTGCAATTCTGGTTATAGTTAAAGTACAGTTTTTATTAATCTATAAAGATGTCTTGGTGCCTAGGTACTTTTAGGACTTTCTCTTTAACCTGGAACTAACCATCCAATATTAATATCCCAAGAAAAAAAATAATCACTTGTGATATAGCATTTTCATAAAGTCAAGAAGACCAGGGCCAGAAAGAGATGTATTTTTATCATAGCTCCCATGGTGCAGTCTTCTCTTGCAAACTGTGCTTGCTCTGACAGAAACAAGATACGATAATTGATGTAATGGTGATTTTTAAAAAATTTACTACAGAACACTAATTCTTCTGATTCAAATTTGTTCATATGATAGATGTTTCTTACTTCACTGTGAATATTTCATGTTTTATGGGTATAACTGAGAGTTTGATGATTTTTACAGGTTAGATATCTAATAACGTACAGCAGCCAGAGTTTTCATAGGCATCTGGATTATATTAACATATGCTCATTTCAAAACATCTGCATATTTCCCATCATAGTTAAAAATGTTGGATATAATTTATAGCTACTATTACTAAATGGCTTGTGTCCCAAGGTCTACCATCTGTATTATGAGATTTGATAGAGGTGCTCTGCATTTTTAAAGAAAAATATCGTTTATTACTCAGGTTTTATGATTTTTTTCAAGTTCAGGGTGGCAATTTATTATTTGGGTTGTTTTTTAAGGTGTTAGCAATCTTGATTACTAAAAGCAGGAATATAAATTATTCCAAAAACCTTTCATTTTTTCTAGATTTCTGGAAAATAAATTTGTCTATAGGAATTTTATTTTTTTGACAAGTTAACAGACTTGTTCCTATTTTGACAGCTTATGAAAAACTTCCAGCATGATGAATTATGTGTACATATAAAGATCTTGGATTTATTGCTTTCTAGTGGCTTACAAATCATTTTTTTAAGCTTCCATGTTAGAATTAATGGAGCAAGAGTTAGGAGGAGATCTTTAAAAACATTTTATAATTTCATGTTTACTTTTCAAAATTAAAAACCTGTTTGTCATGCAGCAATAAAAAACCCAGGTACATCTGCCGAAAGACACACTTATTTTATGATTCCTAATACTGGTTCTCTAAAACAGGGGTCTACAAATCTGGCAACTTTAAAAGACTTGTGGCTGAGGAATTCTGGGAGTTGAAGTCCACAAATTCTAAAGTTGCCAAGTTTGGAGACCCCTGCTCTAGAACTAGCAGCATAAGGGCTGAGTTGTGAATTGGGGAAAACTGGCTTGCATGCTGTGTTGTTGCTTCAGAGCCAGGTTAGTGTAAGGTTTGCATCTCTGAAATATGTTTCTATTGGTTGCATTGTAGCTATAGTATACTGAATTCCATAACCATTAATGTAATTGCTAATCTTTGGGGGCTAAATTGTTCCTGAAGGACAGTAGCCTTCATCTTACTCTTTAGGGCACATTTATAAATTGTTTAAATCCTCTCTATGTTGTCTAACCAGTCTTAGCTGCCAAAATTATTTTCTGTATCTTCTGCTTAATTTGCTGTGAAGTTTTTACTGATGTGGATTTCTGGACTGTTCATTAAATTTGCTAAAAGAGATTTTGAGCAGTAATGATGAAAGTGACTTCCTCTGGAGCAAAGTATATTTATTGTGTTGTCTTTTAATGTAAAAGAGTTGCAATAGTCTTATTTCAAGCATTTAAAGCAAACACAGCACAGTACAAAAATAAAACTTAAAACTTGGAAACTCCCTGAAAGTTTCCAGTTTTAGATAAATACACATGAGGAAAAAGGAAAATGGGGATCAACGAAGACAATGAACAGTGGGGATATGAGCACATGCATGTTTAAATGGAAATAGGTACATACTAGCTTATAAGATATTTTATAAGGTGAGAAAGATACCATGAATAATTACACAATGCTTTTAGAACTTTCCATTTTTTTAGCCATTTGTTGTAAACTGAATATTGGATAAAGTTCAAACACAGCTTTCTTGATATGAATCAATTAAATTTGTTTTTACAGAAAGTTTTGTCCTTTGCTAAAAAAAATAATAGGTGAATACATATAAGGAGAACTAATTCTGAATTCACAACAAATTGAACAAAACAATACGTGCGATAATCAAGATGGCTGTGTTCTGTTGGAACAAAGCCTGAAGTACCTCGGAGGGTTTCCAGCTTCAAAACAAATCTCTTGGAACATGCACATTTTTTTTCAAGCTGAGAACACTTGAAAAGGCCTGTTCCAGGAGAAAAATGGCACATTTCAGGTTGCTTTCTTTGACCGGAAAACTTGAGATGCTGCCACTCAGACAGCCAACTTTTGTTCTGAAGTGGGGATGCAGAAATTTGTTTTGAGCTTGACATGCTTGTACATCCCAGGCCTTAGAAGAGCTTTTGGGGGAGGGAGGTGAATTCACAAAGATTAATCTGGCAAGCAAGAATGTTCATTAGCAGATGGATTAGTTGTTAGGCAGACAATCCTGACGGAGCTCTTCCGAAGGATTTCTCCCCCTCCCCCAACTAGTTGAGAGAACATAGGAATGTTTATGTTGCCTTGATTAGGTTGCTGGTTTTAATTTTTGTGTGGATATTATAATTAGTATTGTTAAGAATTAGAAATCCTTGACAGTCATTGCAAGGTCACCCAGGACTTCTTGTTGAATGATGAGAATCTAAGTTCCTGCTTTATAGCCTTACCTTAAGTGATTACTAAAATGTTGGCTGAGGCTAGTATTTTTCAGAAGCGCTGCACAAATTCCAGGAATAATTTCTAAGATTGTAAATTGGAAAGTCCCATTTAGTAATAACAGGATTGGGCCCTGGTTAGTACTTTGATGTGAGACCTCCAGGAAATACATTGCCTAGACTGGAAATCCCAACCCCACATACCCCAATAGACACGCATGCATATAAGTTTATGGGACGCATGAGAAGGAGGCAGTGGCAAAATACTTTAAATTGTTTGCCAAGAACACGACCCAGATATTTCCATGAAGCCATAAGCAATCAAGCTAAACTCAAAAGAAACCTTGACATTGTTGAAGTTGAATGTGATTTCTCTGGTCTTTGAAGTTTCGTAAAGAAACATTTGAAGATCATAACGGTTTGGCTGAAGGAAGGTCTTAAGAGATGTTAAAGAAAAAAATGATTTTTTACAAAAAAAAATACAATAAATCTCATTCTGATAAAACTGAGACAGAAGTTATAATTAATAGAACAACTTTCTATTTCACTTGCAGTTTTACTAAAAAGTTAATGCATATATTTCAAGAATTCATGATTTCTTTTCCAAAATAGCAAGATCATAAAAATATGTTTTTATAAAGGCATTTAAAATTGGGCATTGCAAATTAAATAGACAGTACTGTCTTTAACATCATTAAATCCAGTAGAAGACCAACAGTGCAACCTAGAGCCATGGTGGTACAGTGGTTAGAATGCAGTATTGCAGGCTAATTCTGCCGACTGTCAGCAGTTTGATTCTGAACAGCTCAAGGTTGACTCATTCTTCCAAGGTTGATAAAATGAGGACCTAGATTGGTGGGGTAATATGCTGACTCTGTAAACCGCTTAGAGAGGACTGTAGAGCACTATGAAGCAGTAAGCATTATTGCTATTGGTATCCAGTTTAAAATAAAGAGTAACAATGTATACCTCAACTTCTGTTGAAGAAGACAGCTTATTCCATCAAAGAAAGGAAGTTCATTGGGACACCTACAACATCTCTTATTTTTCTTGAATCCTTGTTTTAGTTGAATGAGGCTTCAACTTTGAACGTTGGTATATTTTAATAATTTAAGTCAAGATAGAGAAAGCCTCACTCTCTCAACATCACTGAGTGTCTTATCACTCCCCTACGTGTGCCCAATGCTGGAAGCATTTTAATTCAGAAGCACTTCTATTGCTTCCTCAAGTGTACATGTGCCTGGAGGGTATTGAATAGCTTCTTGGCTTTTTGCTGCTGTAAGACTTTTTGCTACAGAGGGCTGGAAGGCATCTGTTTTGTTTGTTACTTTTACTCTGTCTTTAGGTCAAGGGTCTTCAAACTTGGCAAGTTTAAGACTTATGGAATTCAACTCTTATGGAATTCAACTGAGCTAAACACGACTAGAGGAGGAATTCTGGGAGTTGAAGACCACAAGTCTTAAAGCTGTCAAGTTTGAAGAGTCCTGATTTAGGTCTTTGGAGCCTGTGATTAACTTGCTGGATCAAGCCTGTGATTAACTTGCTGGATCAAGCTATAAAATGTTCATGTTAGAAACTTGATAAGGTTTCCCCACATGCACTTCTGCAATCTTCTGATGGATTGTAAAAGGCTATTGAGAAAAATTGGTCATTATGAGGTAAAAATGTAGATTTTAAAGGTAAATTAAACACTACTTGTATAGAGTAAACACTAACATAGATTGAATAGGAATGAATGAAGCATAATAATATTATCTTTTCTACTTACTTTAGGAATTGTTCAGTTTCATTGGCACCTAAGATGTTAAATATCTTCCAGACCAGTTAAAGTCCCCATGAGAAAGTTGCTGCTTCCTTTAAACATAACATGTTTAAAGTATAATTGATTCATAAATATTTATTCTGTAAAGTTTATCAGTAATGTTAAAATTTTGTGCCTCTTTTTGGAGAAGTGCATTGGAGATCTATGTAATTTTCTTGACAACTATTTTTTGGAAGTGATTTGCCAATTCCTTCTTCCTAGGACTCAGAAAGAGCAGTTGACTCAAGTAATCCAACTGACATCATGCCTAAAGCAGGACGAGAATTTATGGTCTTCTGATTTTTATCCTGGTGGCTTTGAATGCTCTAACACACTGGTTGGACAAGATATAAATGTATTTAACCATGTACTTGGCAAAATTGTCCCTCTATTGAAAATATATTAATTATTTTTCCCTCTTCTTGCAGCATAAGCAGTACCATAATGGATGTAGACAGTACAATTTCCAGTGGACGTTCAACTCCAGTCATGATGAATGGACAGGGAGTGACGACTTCATCTGCAAAAAGTATTGCTTATAACTGCTGCTGGGACCAGTGCCACTCTTGTTTCAACTCCAGTCCGGATCTGGCAGATCACATTCGGTCCATACACGTAGATGGTCAGCGAGGAGGGGTTGGTGTTTTTTTTTTAAATTGTCTATTCTAACATCTGTGTGTTAAACCAGAAACCAAGCATGTTTAATGGAAAAAAGTACCGTGTTGTAATGTGTACTTTTAAAACCAATCAAAAAAGCTTAAAACTGTTACAATCAAGTTATTTCAAGAGTGGGAACTAAAATAGACTTGAAATACAAATTATAAGGAATACTGAATGATGGGACAATGATACCCCATGTACAAAGGAAAGCATTGTATTCCAGATGTTTACTGTCATAGACAAAAGTGAGCTGAAGAAAAGGTGAACAACCACAGGTGGAACAGGTGAGAATACAGAGACAGAGACAGTTCTTAATTTAGTAGAATATTGGGAAATACATGATTGTTCTAAAGGCGTGATAGAAAAAAATAGACTTTGAGATAATGCCAAATAAAAGCAAAGCCGAAACAATCATTCAATGCATGTTTCCAAATAGAGGAGCAGGAGCTGTCAGATAGATTTTTAGTGGTAAAATAGGATGAATAAAGATTAGAGATAGGAATGATCTGCCTGTGAAAGTGGATGTTAGGGCTTTGCAATGCCTTCAAAAGGAGTGATGGCACAAAACATGTCAGCATCAGAAGGAATCCATCCTTGAAAATCTAAAGCACCTTTGGTTGGAAGACTGTATATAATGGTATCCAATTCTCCAGTTGTTCCCATCTGTATGTATACAGGAAACACTTAGTTGGGATTTCAGAATCACCTCTAAAGTGGCTCTGCACATTCAAAGGTGGAGAAAGACTTCATTGAGCCTTCTAGGGAACTTTTAAGGATAGGCCCTTTGATCCAACATGCTTTGTGATTGCCTTTGAATGCTTCGTCTGTCCCAAGACAATATAAAGGACAGCAAGACTAAGGGGGATTTTGAAGATGAGAGATTTTCGTTTGCAGATAGTGGAAGTTTTAAAGTCTGCATTTATATGGAAGACTCAGAAATTGGAAGAGCACAGATTCTCTTAAGAGAAATACAGCTAGTCCTTGACTTACAACCATCCATTTAGTGGTCATTCAAAGTTATAGTGTCACTGAAAAAAGTGAATTATGACTGTTTTCGCACTTACGACTCTTGCAGCATCCCCATAGTCACATGATCAAAATTCAGATGCTTGGCAACTGGGCTTTGTGATGGTCACAGTGTCCCTGGGCTCATGTGATCCCCTTTTGCAAACTTCCGACAAGCCAAGTCAATGGGGAAGCCAGATTCACTTAACAACCTTGTTATTAACCATTGCAATGATTCTCGGTGGCGAGAAAGATGGCAAAATAGGGCAAAACTCAGTTAACAACTATCTCACCAAGCAACAGAAATTTTAGGCTCAATTGTGGTCGTAAGTCAAGGACTATCCATATTCCTTGTTTTTGAAGTAATGAAATTGGTTTGGAGGAGTTGGAAAGTTGGGGAAGAAGGAATGAGTTGTGAAGAAGATGGTCTAATTGTCTGATGATTTTCTAGATCCTATCCTTAAGTCAGTGAAAGAAAACCATGTTTCACATTTTTGAGGTCTTATGCAATATAGTGCTAGTTGTGACAGTAAATAATTTAACTGAAGGGTGTGTTACATCAAACTTCATCTAGGTCCAAATTTTGCACTTTCTTTTGAATTACTTGGTTACCCAAATCAAGTCAAATTCGAAAAAGATGTAATACACGCCTATCAGTGGCTTCATTTGATACAATTCAGATTTAAATTGCTAGCCTTCTTATTGTGTGTTTTCCATAAGTTAGGATAGAATTGACAACCTGATATATTTTCCTTCTAATTAGTTGCAATAAATTTTTCATAGGAAATGCACATTATATATTTGAGCATCTGATTCTTTCAACACAGAATCATGACTAGGCTCTAAGATGGCCTTCAACTTGTCAAGCGGGGGAACAAATCACACTGTAATTTATGAGGAGCTGCTTTGGTGTGTTGTACTTCAGTTGGAGCAGCAGCTACTTAGCAATACTGTTCATTCCAAAGCAAATTAAACAATTTTTCAGTTTTGGCATATTACAAGCAAAACCATGCGGCCATGCCAAGTACTGTTCTAGGAGCAAGCGGTGGGAATGTGCCTTTTCTGCCGTTCCTTCTTTGTCCTTGTTCGACTTAGCAAATAATCTCATGTGTACCCTTTCTAATCATTGTTTTTAAAGGCATAAAGATGCTGCTGCCTTTGGGGATGTTTCAAATGGGGTTGTTGCCCACTTTTAACTGTCCCACGCTGTCTCCAAAAGAGACTTTGTTGGCCTAAATTGGATTTCACTGAAGGGTAGAAATTGAAACAGACTCGTATAGTTGACTTAAATGAAACAATAGTTTAAAACTCAGATTCAACTACTGTAGAGTTGACTCAGAATGTGTTGGCAGTGACCAGATTGCATGTACTGGGTCCCATCAGTTAAACAGGGTTGTAAAAGTGGCTCTCCACCTGGAAGATCAAACTAAGAAATTTAACTACTTAGGAAGGAAAGAAAATTATTTTCATTGAAATTAGCTATAATAGGAGAACCTTGTAAGACTGATTGTGCTATACCTCCTCTTCTATCCAGGTCATTTTGGGTACTCCCTCTATATTTGTTCTGACCCAAGCCTTATTCCAATTAAACAAACACAAACTGTTTATAAAAGCAAACCTTTTTTAATGCGGCTCTGGGAAATCTTTGCATTCCCAGCCAAGAGTCATTTAAACCTAATTGTCCGAGATAAAAGCAAGTCCTTTCAAGATTGTAAAATGCTGCCAAGAACAGAAGTCTAATTACAGATAAATAACAACCAACAGAAGTTTCAAAACAAAACCGGAGTTCGTAGGGCTTCAACGCGGACTCAAAAGTCTAAAGAACTTCTTTGCTTCCTGCAAAGAACACATCCCCGAGGGCTGGTTTTTATCCCTTGTGGGCAGGGCAATCACCTTCCAGCCTTACTCCCGAGTTGCCCTTGCTACTTCAGCTGCTCTCTCCTTCGAGCAGCCCTGCACACACTGGGCACAGGCTCCCTGGGGTCCTCTGCTTCACTGCTGCCAGACTCCCAAAAGCTCCAAAGGCAGCACCCCACTCTCTAATAGTCCTGGCCCATCCCTGCGTCCGACGCAGGACCCTCGTCCAAGTCCTCGCCAGTCTCCTTGACTGGTTTCCTTTCGTCCTCGCTGTCAGAGACCTCTGCCGTCTGCACCTCCTGCTGGCGAGCCACAACAATATTCCATTTTTGCTACTACACCTGCCCAATGGCATGATATCCCCTCCTCAAATCATAAGGTCCTAATCCTGCCAGCCTTTAGAAAGCCTTAAAGATCCTTGAAGTTCAAGCATAAGGACATTCTGTGACCCATTTTTAACGTTCTAAATGTGATCTGCCTCCAGCATGATATGCTTTAATTTCTGTTGTCTTTTTATGGTGTTTTGTTTTTTTCTTAACCCAAGAGTTGCGCGTTGAAAGGATGGTCATACAGATTTTCAAATTACAAATAACATTCTATCCTTCAGGGCATTATTTACCAAAGACTTATTGGAGTTCCCAGTGTAGGGAATAAAAAGCTCAAAAGAGAAAGTGAAAGAGCCTGGAAGTGGGCCTTCCTTGTGGGGCCTCTTTTGGACTTGATTGCTACTGCTTCCATGACCACCTGGAAGTTCTTAAAAGCTTGGCTGTCCTGGAAGGTTTGGGAGGATTTGATACAGTTCTCAGTGCCAGAGGAGTGTTATTTTAATGTTTTAAACTGTAATGATGTGTTTTATTTCTTGGTTTATTGCGCGGGCTGCGGTTATTGCTTTTCCATACTTCTTTGAGTCACTTCGGCTGAGGCAGGTTGCAAATCTATAAGTAAATAAAAGTATACTAATAAACCCCATGTAGGAACCAATTTTTGAAGTAATCACGTTGCGGTGTCCTTGTAAAATAATCCTTAGCGCAAGAGCCAGATTGTGGTTTCTGAAAGAAGGTGGAAGCAAAATCATCATGGCTGGTGAATGGGGCTGAGCTGCTTCTTCCCTTAGCAGTTTGTATTTGATCCCCTGACCAAAAGCAGGGATAACCTCATAATTCCCTTCACCGCTGCTCTTACCTGGATGATAAAGTTCAGCTAATTAATGGAACTATTACAGTTTCATTAGCTGCATATAGAGGTAGTCCTTGATTTGTCACCACTTAGTCACTGTTTACTGTTTTAACATTTTATTTATAAAATATTATTTATAAAATATTATAAAATACAAAAGTAAATAGAAAAGCAATGGGGAGGAAAAGGGAACAGAAGTGAGGAAGTACAGGAAAAGAAAAAGAAACATTGACTTTCGACATTCTGTTGCAGTAAAATAAGGCATTAACATCAACTCACAACTTTCTGCTTTTTTCATAATAATATGAACAAGCTGTTTCTGAAAAGATCTATCAATTACTCAGTAAAACCCAAAATCAAAGTTTCATTCTTTTCCACTTCAAGCACGAATACTTACGTTCTTTTCTTTAACCAAAGTAGTCAATTTTACCATTTTAGCCAACTCCCATCAACTTCTGCAACCATAGTAGGAATCGAAGTGTCCTTCCACTTTTGTGCATACAATAGTCTTGCTGCTGTCAACATATATATAGCAGGGGTCCCCAAACTTGGCAACTTTAAGACTTGTGGACTTCATCTCCCAGAATTCTCCAGCCAGCTATGCTTGCCAAGTTTGGAAACCTCTGGTATATAGTAACAAAGTTCCAAGTTTTTTTTCCCCAGTTCTTTTTCCATTAGGCCCAAAAGGAAAAGTTCTGGTTTTTCATTTAGTGACTGTTTGAAGTTAAATGACACTGAAAAAGTGACTTATGACCACTTTTCCCACTTTTGCAGCATCCCCATGGTCACGTGATCAAAATTCAGGTGCTTGGCAACTGGCATATGTTTATGACAATTGCAGTGTCTTGGGGTTGTGTGATTGCCTTTTGTAACCTTCCCAGCCAGCTTCCGACCAGCAAAATCAATAGAGGAAGCCAGATTCACTTAACAACTGCAGTGATTCTCTTAACAGCTGTGGAAATCGGGTCATAAGATGGGGCACAGCTCAACAACTGTCTTGCTTAACAACAGAAATTTTGGGCTTCTTTGAAGGGTATAAGTCAAGGATTATCTGTTATAATTACACCATTATAACATGGGCATAAATTGGATTCTAAACATGTAAGTTGAACAGCAATGTAGAATTCATTGGTTTTACCAATGAAAAAATATTTTTGCTCATACTGCACTACTGCAAAAGGGTGTTTTTTTAGTGATTGTTAACTCATGTATTATATATGTAATATGTGGAGAGGAATTGTATGCTTTACTGAAGTAGGCATATTGCATCAGATATATATCTGATCTAGTGGTGACATTCTACCAGTTCGGCCTGGTTCTGGCGAGCCAGTAGCAGCAATGAGCAGCAGAGACTGAACCAATTCTCTCTGCTGGCTCTGCTGTTGGGCCCACCCGCCCACCTGGGCTCCCATGCTCACCTTTATCTGCTGAATTTGAAGTGCAGCTGCTTTGCGCAGCACAGAAGAGTGCTGTGCGGCAGCTACTGAAGTGACCGGGATCATGCAGGCTTGCAGGAGGCGAGTTAGAATGCTCTGCGTCTGTGCAAAGTGCATGTTTGGCACACACGTGCACACAAAGTGTGCCCACCAAGCCACGCCGCTGGCAAAAATATTTGAATCCCACCACTGATCTGATCCATTAATTAAACACATTTGCCCTTGTGTTGTTTGGCAAATTCCTTGTGGGTTATTTTAAAGAGGTATTTTATTAATAACTGTCTTAACAGAACAATTTGCATTGTTATCATAAGAGTCCACAAGGTTCATCTGACTTACTAACCAGATTTTTTATTCGACCTATCTATCTCCATCTTTCCAAGTATCCTTTTAAGACTTGCGAAAGAGGTGGGCCTCTCTTTTCATTACAATATAGGGAAGAAATCCGTGTTACCCTCTCAAAACCAACTGAGAAGTCAACATTTGAGGCCACTGATGATGTCCGTGGTTAATTTAAAATATCTCATTATTTGAGATACAGATAAAGTTAAGGCAAAAAGTCATGATTGAAGTATATTTTAAATGGATATTTTTTGTGAAATTTAAGTGAAGTGAAATTTAATTTGCTCCTTCCATACATTTCCACAAATTGTCTAGGATTTTGGTCTCTTATCAGCCACAAGGCAATCTATTTCCTACATTCTGAAATATGTGGAGTTGAAAAAGTGACAAAAGAGGCACTTATAATGACCAACTGATAGCAGCCACCTATAGCTGCACAGCTATTAGGACAACAGTTTCCCATGGTATCTGTGATAGATTAAGGAGGCCAACACTAGAGAAATTCTTCCAAGTATCTAGGCTACATGAAATGCCAAGTCAAATAACCATTTGGACAATGCCCAAGTAACTTCTCAAACAGGCAGCAAATCTGGGGATGTTGGCACAATTTTCTAAAGACAGAGATAAGTATTTTGGTTAGGTTCTTAAATAGTCATGACTCAATCCATCCTTTCTGAATTTTACGTTTCAAGTGGTCCTCTTAGATTGGTAACTTCACAGAACTGAGTTAGCTATTTCAGCTGTATATTCATTGTGTGATGATTCTTGGCAATTACTGTTCTCTTTGAATTTAGAAACACCTTTTCATTTCTCATTTTTTGTACAGTTGATTCTGTTTAAAAGAAAACTAGACAACTTCTCTTAACATGCTAAGGCATTGCTACCAGTAGTAAGACCCAGTCATTAAATGTGCTAAAAGCAAAAGTTCTTTACAGAAATATGTACACTGCTCAAAAATAAGACATCCTGGATCTGAATGAATGAAATATTCTTATTAAATACTTTGTTCATTACATAGCTGAATGTGCTGACAACAAACTCACACAAAAATTATCAATGGAAATTAAATTTAGCAACCCATGGAGGCCTGGATTTGGAGTTACACTCAAAATTAAAGTGGAAAAAAAACACTACAGGCTGATCCAACTTTGATGTAATGTCCTTAAAACAAGTCAAAATGAGGCTCAGTAGTGTGTGTGGCTTCCACGTGCCTGTATGACCTCCCTACAATGCCTGGGCATGCTCCTGGTGAGGTGGCAGATGGTCTCCTGAGGGATCTCCTCCCACACCAGGACTAAGCATCCCCCAACTCCTGGACAGTCTGTGGTGCATCGTGGCGTTGGTGGATGGAGCAAGACATGATGTCCCAGATGTGCTCAATTGGATTCAGGTCTGGGGAATGAGCGGGCCAGTCCATAGCATCAATGACTTTGTCTTGCAGGAACTGCTGACACACTCCAGCCACATGAAGTCTAGCATTGTCTTGCATTAGGAGGAACCCAGGGCCAACCGCACCAGCATATGGTCTCACAAGGGGTCTGAGGATCTCATCTCGGTACCTAATGGCAGTCAGGCTACTTCTGGCGAGCAAATGGAGGGCTTTGCGGCCCCCTAAAGAAGTGCCACTCCACACCATTACTGACCCACTGCCAAACCGGTCATGCTGGAGGATGTTGCAGGCAGCAGAACATTCTCCACAGCGTCTCCAGACCCTGTCACGTCTCACATGTGCTCAGTGTGAACCTGCTTTCATCTGTAAAGAGCACAGGGCGCCAGTGGCGAATTTGCCAATCTTGGTGTTCTCTGGCAAATGCCAAACGTCCTGCATGGTGTTGGGCTGTAAGCACAACCCCCACCTGTGGGTGTCGGGCCCTCATACCACCCTCATGGAGTCTGTTTCTGACCGTTTGAGCAGCCACATGGAGGTCATTTTGCAGGGCTCTGGCAGTGTTCCTCCTGTCCCTCCTTGCACAAAGGCAGAGGTAACGGTCCTGATGCTGAATTGTTGCCCTCCTACGGCCTCTTCCACATCTCCTGATGTACTGGCCTGTCTCCTGGTAGGGCCTCCATGCTCTGGACACTACGCTGACAGACACAGCAAACCTTCTTGCCACAGCTCGCATTGATGTGCCATCCTGGATAAGCTGCACTACCTGAGCCACTTGTGTGGGTTGTTAGACTCCGTCTCATGCTACCACTAGAGTGAAAGCACCGCCAGCATTCAAAAGTGACCAAACCATCAGCCAGAAAGCATAGGAACTGAGAAGTGGTCTGTGGTCACCACCTGCAGAACCACTCCTTCATTGGGGATGTCTTGCTAACTGCCTATGCTTTCCACCTGTTGTCTATTCCATTTGCACAGCAGCATGTGAAATTGATTGTCAATCAGTGTTGCTACCTAAGTGGACAGTTTGATTTCACAGAAGTGTGATTGACTTAGAATTACATTGTGTTGTTTTAAGTGTTCCCTTTATTTTTTTGAGCAGTGTATTTTCGGGTAATTTATTGAGTTAAAATAATATATTGAACGTTAAAAATATGTGTAACAGGAGCTTCCGCCTAATTTGTATTTTTTCTTACTAGGTATTTGTTTGCTTATGGAAAGGCTGCAAAGTGTATAACACACCATCAACAAGTCAGAGTTGGTTACAGCGGCATATGTTGACCCATAGTGGGGACAAACCTTTTAAGGTAGGTCATTTTCCAAGGTTTTTTAGCCTATCTTGTTTTCTTTTATCTTTGTATTCAATATTTATTATAATATTTATGCATTTATCTGAAAGGAAGGCATTGTCCTTTCTCCCTGAAATAACTTGTCTGTAAAATATGACAGTAGTCTGTCTAAATTAACAGATTCAAAAAGGAATAAAAAATGCAATAGGACAGACTGACTAACTTGAAAAAAAATGGGAAACAATACTTTAAGGTTCGTGCCTGCTTAATCACTCTGGAAAAGCTATTCCACAGTAAAGGGTTTGTTTTTTGGCGTGGCTCATAATGAGTAGCAGAAATTTTGAGAAGCCCCTCTTTCACAAATCTATAAAAGTCAGGTTCATGCATTTGGGACATTAAACCAAAGGAAGCCCCAGAGCTTTGAATTAGGCCTGGAAACAAATAGACAGTGGGAATAGCTCCCACTGCAATGACTCGGGCTAAAAACACTGAGCTTGTCAGCTGGAAAGCCAGCTGAGTTCAAGACCTGAGTGCTGCCTGATGGCTGAGCTCCTGTTATTTGCCACAGCTCTTGCCCACCTAGCAGGACAAAAGTATGCAAATGCGAGTAGATAGGTAGGTACCACTTCAATGGGGAAGGTAACAGCGTTCTGTGAGCCTCAGCATATAGTCATCCTGGCCACATGACCATGGAAATATCTTTGGACAATGCTGGCTCCCTTGGTTAAGAAATGGAGATAAACATTGCCCCCTAGAGTCAGATACGAATGGACGGAGGAACCTTTACCTTTATAGCCAGCCCCATGTCATTGGCATTCAATGTTCTCACATAGCCATGTCTGTCAAGGTGCCCGTAGCCAGTCTATGCATCAGTGGAAGTTTCCCTATGAAGAGAAAACTTCACACTTGGGAATTTCACAGTGTAGATCAGGCGTGTCCAACCATGACAACTTGAAGCCTGGCGGACTTCAACTCCCAGAATTCCCCAGCGCTGGCTGGGGAATTCTGGAAGTTGAAGTCTGACAGGCTTCAAGTTGTCATGGTTGGACACGCCTGGTGTAGATCCTCATAGCCAAATCATTAACCAAGCAGCCTTCCTAGGTGATGAACCAAACACAGATGGGTAAGAGAGAAATTATACTTTATTTCTTTCTACACTACTTTATTCTTGGCAGTTCACCAGAAAAATTTATGGTTCTAGTGATTTTGGAACATTTTGCTAATTTTTTGTATGCCTTCGCCCTATGAAAGGCTGTACTAGAGAGAACTCACATTCCACCTAATTGAAAAATCCTGTTGGTTTGATTAGTAGCATTTTCAAATTATTAAATGACAGTCGGAAAAAAAAACTAAGTGGAAGGCCATTTGGTACAGTTTGTAATGGTGTAGTTTCCTACATGTCCTCTTGGTTAATGTTCCTGATGTTAGAGAGGAAAGGATGATAGATAGATAGATAGATAGATAGATAGATAGATAGATAGATAGATAGATAGATAGATAGATAGATAATCGCTTCCTGACAGCAGGAATTGTCATAGAATATTACTACTTTAATCATCATATCTGAGGAAATGCAATACTTCAACTGAGTTTTGCTAATCTTATTGACTTAATCTTATTGTTAGATTTGTTTCTTTATAAAAGAACAAGTATTCATTCTCATAAACAAAAACCCATTAATATCTGCTGTTAACTATGCAAAAAAGCCGTTGCAGTTTGTATGACTTCATATTGTTGGCTATGTTCTCACATCATTGGAATTGAATTATCGCTCTAGTGTTCAAAAATTACCTTTGTCTACTTTGATTTCTTGATTGCATGCTGTGTTGCACTAAGAACAATGAAGGGAAGGTAATCTTTAATAATTGACATCCTGCTTGAAGTGAGCACTTCTCAGTGTGTTGACTGGGATTGCTCAGTTGTTCTTTTCATAAAAGGATTACAGAAAAGCAAGATCGCATCAGCCTGTTCCTTCTGGGTTCAGTGATAGCCGCCCTGAGTACCTCTAACGTTGCCTTTTTTTTTTTAGTGCGTTGTGGGAGGTTGCAATGCTAGTTTTGCTTCCCAGAGTGGACTGGCTCGGCATGTACCAACACACTTCAGTCAGCAGAATTCTTCAAAAGTTACCAACCAGCCAAAGGCAAAAGAAGAGTCTCCTTCTAAAGCTGGAATGAACAAAAGAAAGAAGTTAAAGAACAAACGGAGGCGCTCCTTACGTACGTCTGTGCAACGTTTTAGTTCTGTGATAAGCTTTATAACCCCGCAGCTGACCTTTGATGGCTTGCTTGCTCTCAATAGCTTTTTTTTTTTTTTTGCCTCTTTACCACCCTCTTGCAAAACCTCTCATTAGTAGCTTTGAATTTAAGATCTTGTTCCATGGAAAAGTCAGATGATTATACCTAGTATGAATGTACCTTCTTAACTTATCCTCAGCTCTGAAGTTGAAGGCTTCAGAATTAGAGCAGGCAGAAGCTATGTCTGATAGGATTTCTTTACTGACCAGAATACTTAGTTAGTTGGCATTCAGAGGGCAATGATTACTATCATTTTTTGTCATCCTCTCTGAAATCCTTTATTAGGCCAAGAAGTAAACAATTAAAAAATATATATCTGATGCTATATTAGCACCTGACAGTCAAAAGAAGTCAAAAGATCTGAATGGTTACTGAAGAGTAGCATAAGGGATCTGCAAGAAACTGCATTCCCCAACATCATTTTGGGTGATATTTTGAAGGGTTGTACTTGATTTCTCAGGAATCACAATTTGGAGGGGGAGGCATTGTGGATTTGTAGTTATATTTTTGTAGACAATAATGAAAAAATAGTTTTTGAAACAAGCTTAATATATCCCTATTAGAAATTTAAAAAAATCTCAGTTATCTAACTGAAATTTCATATTTAGACCGATTTTAATGTTTCAGTTTAGTTGAAAGGATAGCTTTAAAATAGTATTTTCCAAGCTTGGCAAATTAAAGATGTGTGTATTTCAATTCCTAGCATGCTGGCTGGGGAATTCGGGGAGTTGACATCCTTCCATCTTCAAGTTGCCAAGGTTGGGAAACCCTTCTCTAAAAGGATCTGTGTTAGAATTTTTTTTTATTTGCTTGAACTGATTACTTAGCATAGACTGCATATGATAGATCTGGACTGGAAAAACCTATTTCAGTTCTCATTCAACCATAGAATTCACAAAAAATTGAACTGGTTATATCTCTGAGTTCAGTCTTACATTACGAAGTAGTTGTAAAGATGAAGTGAGGTATGTATTAATAAGTACAGTTGGAAGCTGTTTGTTTGGAAATAAGACTGTCCCAACTAACAAAGATTTGAATAGTGTTTGTTGTTGTTAGAATTACCAACCTTTTCTCATGGCTGCCCTCCTAACAGATTCTTTGTGCTCAGGCTCTAAAGAATCTTTTCCCCTTTGAACCCAGAGCACTTTCTGCACTCCTGCTTTCTCTTTCAACAACTTGGCAAGTCGTCCATTATCAGCTGGGATGCTTCAAAGAGGAAAGCTCCCGTAAGATAAGATCCATGAAAAAAAATGGAGGGGGATCTATATTGGCAAAATCCAGTTTTTTTCAAGATGGACGTTAATACTGCTATGGTCTTGAGTTAAAAAAATGACTTCTGCAGTTGCATAGGTGATAACTGCACTTGTATTGAATCAGCCACTCATTTCACAAATCGTTTAAGGTTTTAGGATATTGGATATATAAAGGCCTTGACTCTGCTGTCCTCTATAGGGCTGGTGCCAGACTGTGCTGGGGAACTCTTAACCACTGACAAGAGAATAGGAGTGGTCACACGTCATGGTAAGCCAGAATTCTGACTCGCTGTGAAAGAGCAAGCGTGCTTAATGAACGCTGCTCAATAGCTCCTACTTAGCTTCCACTAGTGGGACTAGCTAAGCAAACCAAGGAATGCTCTTTCTGAGGTTTGCTTATTGTGACACACAAACTATTTGGCTTCTTTCCCAGGTAAGTCAGGATTAGAACAAACCATGGTTTATAAGTCCAACAGTTTCAGTGGGGGAGTCAACCCTCCTACTTCCTATATGGCAATAAAATAATCTTAGGAGTTTCTACATGTTGGCTCTTGTTGATGATTCACATGTGTTGATAGCAAAAAAATGCTTTTTTCTTGTGCATTTATTTATCACCAAGGAAAGGATATAAACATTGGAGGATTTTATGGGGATCCTTTTGCAGCCTACAGCATACTTTTTAATATTCCAGATTATGTTTGGAGTTGTGTTTTTTTTCTTATACAGACTTCAAAACAAAGTCCTGTTCAAATTGCCTATTAATTTTGTTTTTAAATGATTGCCTCTGGAGCCTATGTTGGGCTTAAAATACTTTTTAGAAAGAAAGTTGATGGCAAAGGTTGCTATTTCATTTTATAGCAAGGTAGCTTCCCTTCCCTTAGTTATTTTTTTAAAATTTTCAATTTAAATGGGAATATGTATATCTCTGTAGTTATTTTACAACATTTCTAATGTTGCAAACATTAAAACAACACTAGGCCAAACATCTAACATTTCCAGTAAAAAACAAAAATGTCATGATACCCCCATTCTGTTTGATGAAATGAAAGTGTTATAATTTAGTATTGAAAAGCCAAGAGATTCAGAGATGGGTCTTCCTCTTGGGAAAAGAATTCCATAAAGTTGGGGTTACCATTGAAGTACTGTGCTGCCTTGTCCGCTCCCATCTATCTCAAAAAGTGGAGGAACTCTGAAATCCTCTTGTAATGATCAAACCAGGTAAGCAGATCCTGTCTGAGCAATGAATCCCTGAGGTAACTGGATACTGTGCTGTGTTGAGCTTTGAAAGGTAACTTTCAGTTTTTTTTTTAAATAGACTCGGAACCATAACCGAAACTAACTTAAAATATGTATTATTATGCATGTAGGAGTAGATGGCTACATTTTAGTTCCTCTGTTTTGTACCTTCTAGATCAGGGGTCCTAAACCCCCGGGCTGCGACCCACTACCAGGCCGTGACCTATTCGGAATTGGGCCATGTGAGGGTTGGCCGGATCATGTGTGCGTGCGCAGTTGAACTTGCACCAGCAATGGGCTGGTGGAAACTTGCACATATGTGCCCCAGTCCACCACTTGTGCAAGGGCTCCATATGTGCGCAACAGCCTGCCACTCAGGCGGCCCACTTCCCCTCTCCTCCCCCCCCATGGGATCCCCAAGCCACAAAGGTTGGGGACCACTGTTCTAAGTAGTTTCCAGTGGCAGCCCCAAAACAGAGCCTGTTGCAATAGTCCAGTTCAGTGGTTAGAAAAATGTGATTTATTTGCTAGGGCTTCTGGGTCCATGCAGGGCCATAACTGGTTTAACACCTGAAGCTGGGCAATGCCCCATCTCCCTGCCCCATCCTGACAACAGTACTTCCTGACATTTAAAGATCAGTCCCTTCATTGGGAACAAACTCCATTCAGTATGACTACTGAGAACTGATGTTGTTTGGATACCCCATGGTCTATTGAAAAAATAGCAGCTCTGTCTCAGAGGGGTTCAATGTGAACTTACTTCATCCCATTCAGATCCTCCCAGGATGTAAGCATGAGGTCTCTCGCTTGGCCTGGGATGGCAGTATACAATTGGGTGTTATTTGCATAGCAGAGTTACCGCATTGTAGAGAGAGAGAGAGAGAGAGATGCAGCTTCCCACAGTGATTTTACATAGATATTAAATAGTATGAAGGAGAGTCCTGAGGAACCACACATAATAACCAAGGATTTGAATGTTTCTTCTCCTTCATTTGTGATTGATATCACCACTCATGTAGGAGTAGAACCACCAATAAATATATTCTAGCATCTAATTCCTAATCCAGGCAGGTGAGCCAGAAAGATGCGGGTTCAATGGTAACAAATGCCACTGAAATGTCTGGAAGGTCCCAGAAAGATCAGCCACCACAGCAGCCAATGGCATTTCCCAGGCCAATCCTCAATCCAGATAATGTGTTTCAGTTAGAATCTTTTGGATTGGAGATGGATCCTGGTTGGTTTTTAAGAGTTTATTTGGTATGACCACCCAACCTGTAAATTGATTGTTGGTGACTTAAAATTGTAAAAAAGTATGAAAACAAAAGAAGTAAAAACACAGCAAACATCTGGAATTAAAGAAGAAAATAGAATACAAATGTACATTCCTAATTCCTGAGTATAGAATTGGATCTGCAGGTCTTGGTATTTCAATAGTATTCATCCTGCCTGCACTTCGGTTAATTAATCAAAATTCTCATAATCACAAAATGAAAATTCTCTAGGACAGTAATAAAAAATGTTATGTTTCAATCATAGAATAGGTGTGTTGTTGAAAATAATCATAATCCTCCTGAATCTAAATTATGAACATTAGTGGTTCATGTGTTTCTGTGTTTCAGAATCTATCTATGCTTGGCAGATATTTGCGTGGTTTTAAATCAAAATAATAAAGCATAAATAAGCTTTGGAATTGAAGCCATAAGACATAGAGCTGAATTATGCTTCTGTATCAAAGTTCCTTCTCCTTATAGGATCCTGGCATGTTTACAATATTCTGAAAGTCATTGACTTCTCTATAACTTTATGGGATGTTTGGATGAGAATTTTCTTGGTGCAGCTAATTAGATCTCCTGATTCAAGCTATGATGTTCTGGTAGCTTGACTTGATTCCATTGGTTTGATTGAAAGTCATGTTTTGTCTTACAAACATTATTGTAGTTAGTGAAAAATGATTTCCAAGCCACAGGGACTATATTCACGCAACACATTAGGCTAAAGTCAAAAACATTATAGTTGAATCTGATACATAAACCCAAGTCATTGTTAAGTTGCATGCTTATTCATGAATGCATTTTCATTTCTCTGTGACTCTAGCTTTAAGTATTGAATATATTGTTTGATTATGTGCCATCAAACTGCCATCAGCTCTTATCAGCTACATATATTTTTCTTCATGACAAAAAACCCCCTGGTATTTCAGGTCTTCTAATGACACATCCATTGCCATGAATGAATTCATCCATCTTGCTGATTGTCCTCTTTTTTTCTAACGTTACTAGTATTAGAGCCTTCTCCAGAGAGACAAATCTTCCCAAAATGTATCCAAAGTAGGATAGTTGGAGCATGGCCATTTGCTTAAGAGACCCATTTGGTTGTTTTCTCAGCTATCTACAGTATTCTCATGTATTTTCTCCAACCCCAAGTTTCAAGAAATTTCAGTAGTCTTCCTTCCTGCTTCTTCAAATTCCAGCTTTCACAGGGGATTACCATAATTTGCACTGTTCTGATCTTTGTAAGTAATGGACAATCACTGCATTTGAATATATTTTCCAAGGCTTTCATGGGTGCTCTACCATGTGCCAGTGCGCGCTATTTTCTTGACTATTTCTTCCTTTACTATTGATGGTTGATCCTAAAAGGCAGAAATTATCCATTACTTCAGTATCTTCATTGTCAATTCTAATAGTGATTGTTCTTCCTAATATCACTTGTTTCTTTACACAATATATAATTTTAGATCCCCTTTTCCCCTTTTCTTCTTAACTTTTATTACTAGAGCTTGCAGGCCCTTTATGTTTTTGCTATCAGAGTAGTCTCATAACACACAGGGTATTGGTTTTTCTTCCTCCAGTTTTAAAACTACATTGATCTTCTTCCAGTTCAGCTTCACTTATTATATATTCAGCATGTAGATAAGGGGAGAAAAAATAGACTTGTTGCACTCCCTAAGTCAATCTGGAACTCTCCATTTCATCATGTTCTGTCCATGTTGTGGCTTCCTCATTTGTATATAGGTATCCCAAGAGGAGAATGGGATGTTGTGGGATCTCCATTTTTCTAAACACATTCAGGATGGACACAATCAAAGGACTTTCTATAATAAATGAAATACATGGTGGATTTTTTTTAATATTCTTTGGCTTTCTCAATTACCTAGCATTCATCAGCAATTAGGTCTCATGTTCCTTGGCCTTTTCCAAAGCCAGTTTGAACATCTGGCATCTCTTTTTCTGTGTGGGTGTCTAATCTGCACTGGGTGAGCCTGAGCATCATTTTACTAGCTTATTAAATCAAGGTTATTTGTATAATAGTTTGTTCATTCTCTTAAAGTGTCTTTTCTTTTGTATTAATAGATACTACATTTTATGTACCTCTTCCAGTGTGTTGCCACTGTGCCACTTTCCAGATTTCCTCATATAAGCTTAGTTAGAACATTTTTTTATTTTTCTGTTGTTTGCCATATTTCGGTGAGTATTCTACTAGTTTCCTAGAGCCTTCTGACTTGATAATGACTAACTTCATCTTTTAGTTCTAAAGGCAGGTGTGACATATGAATACTTCGATACATATCACTGATTGATGTCACATACAGGTTTTTCCTATTCCCACTGCCCGTTTAAATATAATATTATTTGTTGAAAATTATGAAGTGATCCGTATCTTCAGTGACTTGATCTTGCATGGAGGTGTTCTTCAAAAAACCAAAGCTTAGCATTGCTGGATTTAATTTACTGATGCCAGATGATTTTGGTGCATGATCAGATGAAGTGTTATCCTTGTTCTGTTTTTTTTCCCTGTTTGAGATATATCTAACTATAGTGGACAAGTGATGAAGGAAATCTACCTCAATATATTTTTAATGTATGCTCATTTGATAGTTATAATACTGTCTCTGCTGAATGGCTGAAGAGAACTAGGAACCATAAATTTGGGCAATTTATTCAGCTCACCAACCTGGATTTGGATGCCTTCAAAAAAATTTTTAGCACAAAAAGTATATTTTTAAAAAAACAGCTCAATTTTGAAAGTGTCTGTGAGCACCCATTTTCCCCATGATTGCGGTCCACATAATGAAAACAATGTTAGATCAAATACTTCTTCAAGAACATAAAAATAATGTTATTAAAGTGGCAAAGTATAATTCAAATCTTCTATTCACATTATTGTGGTTCAGTTGAGCTCAAATCAGTAGCATTATATGCTCATTGTAATAAATCAAAATTAAACTTTCTTACATTTTGTATTTATCTCATTGTCTTTGAATTGGATTTAAATAATTGCAATCATACAATAGCTAGTGTTGAAGTATTTTCTACAAATAAGCAAGAGATGCAAGCTGCTTTAATTAAAAAAAATAAAGTTCTAGGGTCAGGGGGTAGAATTACAGCCCTGTGTGGTTCACACTAGCTGTAATCCAGAAACTTCTTGTATTGTTTCATATTTAGCAATATATAATTACATTTAATATATCTTGGTTGGTATTATGAAACTATTCAGTCATGAGAAGCTGTTGAATGAAGATTAATCTTCCATGGAATAAAACTGGAAAGGGAAAGACTACGAGCTGTTAAGCAAATATTTTATGAAAGGTTTAGTTTCTGGACCCTTATGGATGGACATCCACTAACCTAATTGTTGATTGTATCTTAAAATGACCCTCCATGGCTATAAAAATATATGTATGTTTTATGAATAAGAGGGAGCAATGCCAGGTTAACTGAGGTTAATTAAGCAAACAGGTATAACATTGGAGATATCTGGCTTAGTAGCAGTGTAGTGCAGCCTCAATTTAAAGGACCATTAGAAATAGGGAATGCCTGTCATTCAGCTTCTTGGTCTGGGTTTATCAAGGAGCCAAACCTAAAAAAAAAGGAGTCAGCAGCAAAAAGAAAAATATAATTAAAAAGGCAGCACCAAAAGCTGAGCCAGGTTATCATAAATGTCAGGCCTTAAATGCTAAGAAGCTGGAAGCCAGAAATCACCAACTAAAATGTTTCTGAGGAATAATATATAAATAAAACAAATAATAGTGAACCAGTTGTGCAAGAATAGGGGTGTCAAATTCGATTTCATTGAGGGCCACATCAGGGTTATGTTTGACCTCAGGAGGCCAGGATGGGTGTGGCCAGCATGTGTTGGGGCTGCCTCTGGTGGCCCAAGTGCTCTGCCAGTGAAAACGGGCTCCTGAGCTCCATTTTTGGCTGCGATGGCCTCCTGCCAACCCTCTGCCAGCAAAAACGGCTCTCGGGAGGGCTGCATGTGGCCCTTGTGAGCTGTGTTTTCCCTGGCAGAGGCACCATGGGCCAGTCCTTCACTATTTCCAGGGCAGCCCCGCAGACCAGATCTATGCACTCCGAGGGCTGGATCCAGCCCCTGGGCCTTGAGTTTAACACGCCTGCCCAAGAAGGTATGTTAATGCACACATAGGCAGCATATTTCCTAAACGATTGATTTTGTGTATTCTGGGAGAGGTTGGGACTGATATTTATTAAATCCAAAACCTATTGCTTCAAATCCTGATAAATGAAAGTTTTAGCTATTTTTTTTTTTAATAATCTTGTAATACTAGTTGCTTGCAAATGAAAGTAAGACGGCAGTGGGATGTGGTTGCAAAATAAAGTAAACATAGTTTTATTAATGTTACTACAAAGTGTTTTTTTTCCAAATCCCAGGAAGTAATAGTTTCACTTTATCTTCTGTTTATCAGATCCTTTCCTTGAATGTTAAGTCAAGTTCTGAAAAGAAAGAAAAAATTATAAAAATTGGTCCAGGGAAGATCAAGAATATTGATTTGAAGACAGGAAAATTAACACTAAATGCACTGGGAAGGGTTAATTTCTAAAGAGGAAAATGTAATTCCAGTTTTCAAATGCCTAAAAGGGTTTTTCAGAAGAAAAAGCCCTCCTAAACCTGTCCCTTTCTCACCTGAATGCAGACTTTGGAATATTGCATTTAAATTACAAAAGGCAAAACTTCAGTGAAACATTAGCAGACGACTTCCTCATAGTAAGAACAGTTTGATAATTTTAAAAATAGAATCATTGTAGGTATATCCAGCTTTACAGCCTGTGTGCTATGAAAGCAGAAGGCGTTATCTTTCTTCCTTAAAGTAAGATCAAAAAGCTGAACATTTAAATATGTTGCATACACCCTTGCATTGTAGTTGAAGGCTTGCTTTGTTTTTTTTCCCCTTCCTTAGCAAGACCTCATGACTTCTTTGATGCACAGACCTTGGACGCCATACGGCATCGAGCTATTTGCTTTAACCTTTCTGCTCACATAGAAAGTTTGGGAAAAGGCCACAGTGTTGTATTTCACAGTACGGTAAGTATTATTATCTACCATGCTTGGTATATTTATAATATCTTCAGTATCTTCAAACAGCCTTTCTACACTGAAATATACATCATTGTGCATTGTTATCACAGATTTAATTTAGATAATGTTGCTTGAAAAGTCTTCTGCAGAGACTTCTGTGCTCTTCTTCCCAAAATATATGCAGTTCATGTTCCTCTCTTTTTACCCTGTAGAACAGGGGTGTCAAAGTCGTGTTGTCACCTGACGTATCATGACTTTTCCCCCCTTCGCTGGCGAGGGCGTGGCCAGCCATGACGCATCCAGCCCACACACCGCGAGTTTGACAGCCCTACTATAGAACATAGAAAAATAACTGTAGCCCTATAAAGTTGCTTACGGCTGTGATTTCTCCAAGTTTACTCAGCAATTTTCATATTTTAATTGGTTAAATTTATTTCATATCTTTCATTCAGGACCTTCTGGTCTACAGAGCCTCCCTGCATTTAGTTTCTCTCCATTATAATTCTGAGGCAGATTGTTCTGAGAATGACCAGCTGAAAGTGATTCATGAGGCTCATCCAGCATCTTAATCACAGCCATGGATAAATGACCATTTGAATTCTGCTGTCAGAAATACTATCCTAGCACTTCAAATAGTTCTCCGGGCTAAATATATTTAGTCTTTCCAACTTCGTGGAAAGTTGGAAAGAAATTAGGTAAAGAGGCTCAGAACTCTGTCCATAAATATGGTGATTCCTCATAATACAGCGGTGTCAAACTCTCAGCCGGTGGCTGGATGAGTCACGCACTGGCCACGCCCACCCCTGGTTTAGCGAAGGGGGAAAAAGTCATGATACATCATGTGACGATATGGCACCACGAATTTGACATTCCCGTCAGATCACAAGGTGACAAATCCGGTAGGGCAGAGAAATTGACAAAGGAAAAATGGAGGCCTGAAATTGGCACGATCTGGCCAGGGGCTGCCGACCCTGTGAGAGAGGTAGGTAATAGAGCAGTAGTTCAGAAAGCCGCCAACTCCTGTGTTCTAGGACTGCCTTCTTTCCATCACACGAACCAGAGAATGCAACCCATCCCCATGTTCACAAAAACACAGCATAAAGGGCTGTAGAGACACTTGTTACTTCATTCCCAGTCTAAGTGCCATTTGTGGTGGACTCTTATTGACTGTGTTGATATTCTCCAGGTTCCTTTCAGGTCTCTTAATGCGGCATTCGTACTAATTGCAATTGGATTTGGTGGCAGTCATTCCTTTCCCCCGACTTTCCTTCCACTTGCCTTAGCATTATAAACTTCTCAAAACAATTAGGCCTTTGTGTAATGTGTCCAAAATATAATAATTTGAGCCTGGTAATTTTGCAATTATTTCACATGAAAAAAAAACAAGACAGTGAGTTGTCTCATTTTTTTTAGCTGTTCCTTGATATTTATTGTTGGAGTTTGCAGATTATTTGCATTTTCATCTGTCACAGAAAAGTGTCATCAGCAGAGAGCAAGTTATTGGTGTTTCTTTTTCCAATTTTAAAATCACAATCATCTCCTTCCAGTCCATCTTCCCTTAAAATATATCCAGCATAATAAATAAATAAGGCAATATAGCTTTGTTTCACTCACTTTTCAAAAAACCTGGAGTCAATTTTATCTTTCCAGGGTCCATCCAGACTCTGGCTTTCAATGAGGACAATGATGATCTGGATTCCACAGATTAATATGATCAACGTGGGCTTTTTGTAGTCAGTCAAATGCTTTCACTTCTTTTTAGTATTCTGTGACAATTATCCAGTGTGTATCAGCAAAGCCTTTTGTTCTTTAGCTTATTTCTAAAGCCAAGTTGAACATCTGGCATCTCTTTTTTCCATTTAGGCCTGTAATCTACGTTAGATGACATTGAACATCAATTTTGCTAACATGTGAAATTAAGGATTTTGTGCAGTAGTTTGTACAATCTGTTAAGCCTCCTTTCCTTGATATTGGCGTGAAAACTGACCTCTTCCAATCTGTCAACAAGCCACTGGGTCATTGCGGATTCGCTGCTGTGATTAGACCCTTTATTAGATTCTTCTTTTGCTTTCTCTTCTATTTCTGTAGATGCTCCTTCAATTCTTATAGTTTATCCTACCCGACTGCTGATCTGATTTCCAACTTTGTGGCGCTGCTCACACTTCTGAATAGGGAATATCATGAAAGATATCTTAGATGTTGAAATCTCCTCTCATTTCTCTTCGATCTTTTCTGATTGGCTACCTGTTCATTTTAGCATATTGATTTGAGATTGGAATCTCCGAGGTATTGTGACCTTTTGGAAGTTTATCTGCATTTTCCCTTTCTGTTTCTATTTCATATATTTTAATTTATTTTTATTTCATATTTCTTAACTAGATACAGGTGCTGCTGTAATGCTGTTCCTTATCTCATTTAACAGCTCTCTACATTTTTTTTTCTTTTTGGTTTAAGTTCTTCCTGAGATCTTTGACTTTCTTGGTTCCTTCCTCTTCCTGGCAATTTCTATCATCTGTTCTGGCATCCTGTTTGGTGTCTTCTATTTCTTGGTCTTTGGCAGTCTTGTTCTACATTTACCTTTTATAGCCTCTTTGATTTCATTTAACAATTTCTCTGGTTCTCTCTCAAGTGAGTTCCGGGGCTTCAAAGCAGTTCTTGATACTCTTCTTGAAAATGGTAGGTATACATTCAAGGTTATGTTGTGGAAATTTTTGGCTTTGATCTTCCTCTTTAGCTTGGGATGGAACCTGCACATAATCAGTTCATGATTTTTTTTCTCCCTGCAATCCACTCCTGTCTTTGCTGGCTAATTGATCTGTTACAATTGTTTGTATCAATAATCAGTGGGATCTTCTATAGTCTCCATCTAATGACCTCTATGTATTCAGAAATGGTTCTGCTCGAAGAATGAATGTGCTGTAGCTAAAGAAACCAGAAGGTGATACTTAATTCCTGTTTCCTGGTCCATACTTTTTGCTACATTTTGGTCCTATATTTCTAACTTTGACATTCCAGTCTCCAGTCATAAGCGGCAACTCTTACTTACATGTTCTGTCCTTTTCAGATTGACCATGACCATAAAACATGACATCTTGCATCAGTGGTTGGAGTGGAAACTTAGATGAGCGTCTTTTTAAAGGACATTATTTGCAAATTCTAATACAGATGATATTTGGTCCTCAATTGCATTGTGCACAGGTCCTGTCCTCCTATATCCTTTCTCACTGAAAGTGGGGCTGTTTCTTCTTCGCTTTTGGGTCCTGAGTAGTAAACAGTACGATTTTCTCACTCAAAAGCATCCAATTCCAATCAGTTTCAATTATCTAATGCTTAAGGTGTCAGTCTCTATCATCACTTTGTCTTGCTTTTTCTGCCTCGAGCATCCCATATTTGTGGTTTTACGTTCTGTGTTCCCATTAGAATTCCGTCTTTGCCACTTTGGATTTTCTTTCTCCTTTTACAGCAACCTCAGCAATTGAACCTCCTGAAGGGTTTAGGGTCATAAGTATCATTAGTGCTCGAAAAGAGCCTCGGGTGTTCCTTAATGGTTTAGGTGACCCTGTTTGGCATACATACTTTTGAAGTGTTTTCCTGGTGTCCTTCGCCCATCTCTCTTGGGAATCCCCTTCCATCACCCCAATAAGGTAGCAGAGCAGGGACTTCGGGATGAGAAGGTGTAATTGCAGAGAAGAAAATACAAATATTTCCTATGTTTGAAAAGCTGATAAAGAGATTGGAAAGAATTCCCTACCTTGCCTGAAAGCAGTAATGAGAGAAAATTGCTTTATTTTTGTAAGTGTTGAAAGGATGACAGAAATTGTGCTGTGACACTTATCAGTCATTTGACTGTTCTTCCCTACTTAGGTGCAAGTATATTTTGGAGCATGTCATGCTGTATGCAAATATCCCTCCATCTTACTATAATTTCCCCGGTATTTTAATTGACGTTCCTCTTTACCCTAACTAGCCAGGCGATTGGTGAGACTTATGGGAGTTATTGCTGAGGATATCTGAAGGATTCAATGTGGCTTCCTCCTACTCTTTAATTTTAGTTAACTTCACTTATTCCCACTTGCAAGATTGTCCTAGAAAGAGAGAACAATTCCGACCATTTGGCTGCCATTTGGCTGCCATTTGGCCCATTGTCCTATCCTTCTTTGGGGTCAGTACTTACGTAAATTTTCCTCATCCACAAGTTATTTACACACCTTTTTTGCAGTGGGCTGCAAAGTACTTCACAACCCTACTCCAGTCTCCTATTGCAAAACTTAAGAATGACTATGGGCTGATTGTCTGGCTTATAGGGAAGGAGATGAGATCTGAGTGGCTACACCTGGGCAGAAGCCCTTAGTAGAGACATTGCTACGTAAGGTATGGCTCTTAGGGTTTTGACATCGGACTGATTATAGTTAGCTTGAAATTCCTTGCTACTCTACTTCAGAACATGGATCCAAATCAAAACTTAGGAGTCATTATTCACCTGTGTCTAATTTAGTCACTTCTGGTGAGATTGTCAGCTATATAAATTTGACAATTATGTGGCTTGAGAAGAAAGGAGTAGGAAGCACACAAATCATCTTTCAAATCTTGCATCTGTGGTTCTGGAGATCTAAGTGCAATATCTGATGGTGGATATAAAAGTGAGGATTTTGCAGATTTGAGAATGAGAATTATTAGCAACACTCTTGCAATAAAATTGTGGGAGAAGGCACAGCTGCTTTAAGCAGTGACAAGCAGATGCTGTATGAGTGCTGCACATTTCAAAATGTTTAGTGGCTGAAACTAAATGGTATAATTTGGAAAAGTAACTAACATCTTTGAGTTATTTCTGTGGTTCTCCAGGAGAGGTCAGCAGAACTCCATTTGCATATATGTAACCCTCACTCCTGGTAAAGATTGAGTTTTCAAAAAGTCCGCAATAGAAACAGGAAAGTTTTGTTTGGTGCGGAAGGTATTAATTTCTTTTGTCAGAATCTTTGCAGTCCTATGAATGCTCCTGCAACCCTTTGAAGACAAATCAAGCAATATTCTGATTGCTGATTTGTGGCTATTTGTTTCTGCTTTGAAAGCCTTGAGCAAAAGTCTTCCCATTCCTCTCACCAAGATGTCAGCAGGAGCTTTGAAAAGAAATTTCTTTTCATGAGGAACTCAGCTGTTGCTTTCCCCCATCGCCCTCGATAAGGCTCATTGTTGTTACTTGGTAAGACACCTTCTAAGACACCACATAAAAAGAATATTGAAATTAATGCCCTCCAGATGTTTTGAACTAGAGTTTTCTTAATACCTCACTATTGACCAATTTACTGATGATAGTTATTGGAATGATAGTCTAGAATGTTTAAATGACACCAAGTTATTTACGTGCTATGTAGCTAGGAGTTAAATTCTTCTTCTTTTGATATCTTGATTGATACATAAAATATATTATCTGGCCAGTTGGGCCTCCTCTCTTTTGGCTTTTGTATTTGTGAAGTGCTTTCCATAGGCTTGAAAACAGAGTTACGGTACATGCAGACATCTTGCACCTATCTTAATTTTAAGAAAATAACATGGAAACAGGTAAAACTATTTCAGGCATGTTTTTACATCAATTGTAATTTCCAAGTTTCTAGAAATTGTTTTACGATCAGCCTTGTATTTCTGTTTTATATACGTTTGTTGCTGATGTTTGCTAGAATACCTGGCTAGCATTTAACAATATTTATACTTTCTTTGAAAGATTGCCTTTAAAAATACACTTTTATAGATCCTTGTGTAGAATCTTTGCTAATAATACTGCATTAAGGCTTTTTTTGGGGGGGGGTTCTTTTAGAGCGAGCGTAACAATCTAGGATGCAGGATAAGAAAATAATAATGTATCATCATTTCTACTTTTCAAATTAGATGCTAATGTTCAAACATAACTTAGAAGGTGGAAGCTCCTATGCAACCCCCCTGTGCCCTAATTACTTGAACTGATTAGGATGAGCTCTGATTCTCTTTTGAGAACCTCTGTGTGTAGCTTTTTACCTTAATGCACAAGGCAGCTTTCCAGAAGAGGAGTAAATATGCAGTATTTCCACTGGTTTTACACAATGGGGGTTTACGGTGTTTGCCATTTTCTCTAAATCAACTCCTTTCCTAATTTTCTTACCAGGACTCCCTGCTTGAGGCAGGCTTGCCTTTTCTATTTATTTAGAAAATGTATATGGTTGCCCACCTTAACCAAACAACTCTGAACAACTAACAACATAACACGAAAATACATTTAAAAATAAACATAGAAAATAGAAAAGCTGAGGCACCCTCCTATATCATTCTCAGTCCCCAGACTTGCCTATATCGGGCTCCACTAACAATGTGGTCTTAATGCTTGAAGGGAAAAAGCCAGACTGGAAAATGTTTGAGCAATCAGAAGTTGGGAGTCGGCCTAAACAATTCCCTCTGACGCCATGGCATTTTAAGTCCTGTTTCTACATTTCTTCAAGCAGCCTTATCCGCAAGTCTTTATCTTTCATGCTTCTAAATTTCCCAGGGACCCATTAGCTTTGAAAACAGCTCCAATCCCTATTACACCAGATACAGAATTCTAGAAATGTGTCTGAAACGTGCAATTACAAGCTTATTTGTCTGTGTGGCTTTTATCCTGTGGTTAATATTTCTGCAGGAACATCAAGACGTTTCCACTTTGGGGCTTGAGTGAGCTACCTCTTTATGCAGTCCATTCGTGATGTTGAAGGCAAACAACCGATTTGATATGTCTTACATGAGTCAAACTAAGAAACCTACTGTTTTCTTCCACAGGATGCAAAATATATATATAATGTGCAAAAGCTTTCCCCAGCTGTTTTGGGGTGGCAACGTGGCAGCATGGGGTGGCAACTTTGGGAAAAGCAGCCGATGTATGTCAGTGTTCTCAACCTTAGCCACTCAAAAATGAGTGGACTTCAACTCCCAGAAATCCCTAGTCAACGTGATATATTTGTTTCGGAAAATGAAGGCAGACATTGAAAAGGGAACTAACTGTATGTGTGTATTGGCATCATCTCACATAAATTTGAACATCATCTCAAAAGTAAACTGTTTTTAGAGGAGAAGAAAGCCGCTTCAATGTCTATCAGAATCCACGAAAAAAAATAAAAAAACTGTAACCCAAAACACTTATTGGACCAGATATTTTTACGGGCAGGGAATTCAAGAAAGAGCATAAATATTTCAAGTTGCTTTTCTCGTGTTTGCTTTTAGGTAATAGCTAAAAGGAAAGAGGACTCTGGAAAAGTTAAGTTGCTGCTTCACTGGACTCCAGAAGATATGTAAGTATTTATACTCAGTAGTAGATAATTTGGGCACCTGCAAAAATTAGGATATTTCTTATATTTTACACAAGCATACACAGAATTTTCAACTTACTGAAGAGGTTCATGTGACTTAGGCTCATAGCATTGTTATAAAGCTCTGATGGAGAATTAAAATTACCAAGTTAATTCATGCATTTGAGTATTCATTAAGCAAAAGTAATATTCATTAGGAAGTCAAAAAGGAAAGCGACTTTTACCCTTATTACAGTGCTGAACACATCCATAGCTGAGTTAAATTTTGTTTTGAGTTTTTTTGAACATATTGGAAAGAAGGTATATGCCTTAACCCTGTGTTAATTAGCACATTTCCAAAACTAAACAGAAAAGGTGGCCAATAGCAGAAATATTCTTACTTGTATAATCAGTAAATACAATATATATTGTTGAATGTTCTTTCGTTTTTTTCATTGAAGATGCATATGATGTTTCAACTTTGCTAAAGACTGCAAGCTTTTGTTACCTTGTTAACACCACAGAAGCAGTTGCTAAAAGGGCTTTGAAATCATTATGGAAAGATACATTCATTACCAATATTAAAATCAGCAATGCTTATTTGAACTATAATTAGCTTTTTCAATAAACAAAAAATCAGGGTATCAGAAATTAGCAATTTCTAAACAGTATGTTCACATATAGAACATACCGGTATATATTTCCTTTTTCTATCCTTTTCAACAGAGGCGCAATTCTGTTTTAATTTTAATTCAATTTAATTCAGTTCAGTGGACAGGATGAAATGTCCATTTCTCAATTAACTTTTTGAAAGCTCCTTAACACTGGCCAACAAAATAAATTTGTGGAAAATGTCTTTCACATATTTGCCATTGCTTTTCAAAAATAGACAGTTGTAGTTCAGTTTCCCAAATTGAAACTGGTTCTATGTTTTTCACTAACCGAAGGGTATTTGAAACTTTTAGTTAGCTTTGAAGAAATAATGCATGGATATTTAAATAAAGTCACTGCCTGGGGATGCTATTATTTTGAATAATAATATTAATCATTGTAATTAATGCTACTTATGTGAGATTTTGAAAAGCTCCCAGTAGATACACATTATGCTCAATGGTTAAGACCCTGGACCTGTCAGCTGAAAGCCAGTAGCTCAGGTTTGAGACCCGAGCAACACATAACCGGGTGAGCTCATGTCCTCGCCCCAGTTCCTGCCAACCTAACAGTTCAAAAGCACGCAAATGTGAGTACATAAATAGGCACCATCTTGATGGGAAGGTGTAACACCATTCCATGTCATCATGCCGTCTATACTACCGTGGAAATAGCTTTGGATAGCACTGGCTCAATGGCCTTGAAACAGAGATGAGCACCACCCCTGAAAGTCGGTTACAACTAGCAGGGTAAAATCCACAGGGGCTCCTTTACATTGTTGAGAAGGCTATCCTCAGAGCCAAACTAATATTATTGTTATCTCTTTACATAGAGAGGTTGAGCTACTGTCAAATCATATAGGGCTTCTAGAACAGCGGTGTCAACCTCGTGGTCCACGGGTTGGATTCGTCATGCGCTGACCACGTCCACCTCCGGTTTAGCAAAGGGGAAAGTTGCAGTTACATGTTGTTGCGATTTTGACACCCCCGTTTTCTAGAAAATGGCATAGAATTTTGTGCCTACGGATGCTTAATTTGGGCAAGCCTCCTATCCCAATCATCACAACTAAAATGGTAGAAATAAAATGTTACTCCCTGAAAGAGACGGAGCCTTTTGGGATGTAGAGGGGGAGAGCCTTGTCCTGCAACAAAAAGGTTTGGAATTACAAGTTCAGCTGACTGTGATGCTCAGAGAGAAGCAGATTTCCAGCCAAATCTTTTTGGCAGTGCAATGTTGGTGTGGATTTTTTTTTTCCCCATAAGAATTGACAGCAGCTCTTTTACCAGTAGCGATAATGGAGAGCGAATCACTGACCTTTTCTTTCTGAATATTTTATTTTATTCATAGTCTTCCTGATGTGTGGGTAAATGAAAGTGAAAGGCATCAGTTAAAAACTAAAGTAGTTCATTTATCAAAACTGCCAAAAGATACTGCTTTGCTTCTGGACCCAAACATATACAGGTAAATCTCCTCATTTCTGGATGTTCGCTTTGCCCAGTGTGACTTGATGCCTTGTGTAACTTTTTGAAGCTGTCCCAGAGCTGCTATCAGTGCAGGTCGCCAAAGTAGTCAGAGCTATTCCTCTTTGATCGTTCACCTTCACTAATATTTTTGGCAGATGTTAGAGGAAGAAACATTTCCTTATTTTGACAGCATCCAGAAGTTAATTTTCAAGGCTTCAGGTCACATGACAGCTTTTGAACTGAAACTCTGGCTGGTAAATATGTGTATTTACCGAGTGTATTTTACTTTTTTGTGCTTGGTGTACAGAAAGTCTAGTAAAGGAGGTACATTCAGTGGAATCCTGAAAGATCACTTCTCTTAAGATCACATGCTGGTTTGTATACCAATTTTTTAAAGTCCAAATTTATCTTTTTTTTAAAAAAAGAAAAAATCACATTCTGTTCAGCCTGTAATACATATAGTATTACTTTTAAGATCTTAGTGCTCTATGCAATTTAAACCAATTAAATGCCTTTTTTCTTTTCATTTTGGGGTTAGGATGGGGACAGACCTATCATAATTTACTGTTGAACTTTACTATACAATTAAGAGTCTATATTTTTTATAATAAACTCCGTTTCCCTGAAAATAAGACCTATTTCAAAAAATAAGACCTAGCATGTTTTTACTTGTGCGTCTAATATAAGCCCCCCCTCCCCAAAATAAGCCCTAATTAAGAACCAGCGCCACTGGCCACCCACCTGTTCCATCTGGTTGCTCACAGTGGTGCAGGGAGCAAAGCTGCTGCAAGCATCTGACACCAGCTTACCTCAGGGCCCCCGTAGCCAGGTCACCCACGCCCTGACACCTGCCTCCCCGCCCTCCATGCCCTGACATCAGCCCACTTCTGCTTGCTCGCAGCCGCAATGGAGCAGGAAGCTGAGTGTGTTGGTGCTGTGGCACGAGACAGGTTTTGGGGCATGAATGACCTGGCTTTGGGGGACCTGAGATAGGCCAGGGCGGGGCACGTGGGGCATCTCACCCCACCTCCACCTCGCAGTGGTGACACTGCCCGACCCACGCCCTCCTGCCCCACAGCCAACCAGCAGAAGTGGGTCTCCCGTACATGGGAAAAAAGATACCCCCAAAATAAGCTCTAGTGCTTATTTTGGGACCCCAAAGAAAATAAGACCTGGTCGTATTTTCGGAGAAACACGGGTATGATTTTGTGAAAACACTGTAAATGTCATCCCAAAGTTGATTTTCCAAAAGGCAACTGGACTTTCGTGGGTTTTTTTTTCCTTGAAAGCATTTTGCTTCTCATCCAAGAAACTTCAGAGAACTGAAGAAGCTTCTTGGATGAGAGGTTTTCAAAGAAAAAAATCCAAGAAAATCCAGTTGCCTTTTGGAAAATCAACTTTGGGACAACTATGACTTGGATGATTGAGAATCTCAATAGACACCATAAGTGTCCATAATTATATCTCCTGTGCTTTTTTCCTGAAAGGTAATCTGAAAAGAACTGATTTATGATTTGTTGTCAAAGTTATAACTAATTTTTTTGCTGGTATTGGGTCTTTTAAATGTTAGAAGCTCCAGGTTCTAATGCCTAGCAAGTTTTATTACCAGTAGTCCTTGACTTGCAGTCATTCGTTTAGTGACCAGTTGACCTTAGAACAGCACTGAAAAAAGTGACTCGTGACTGGTCCTTGCATTTACAACCATTGCAGCATCCCCACAGTTATACGACCAAAATTCAGGTACTTGGCAACTGGCGTGTATTTATGACAGTTGCAGCATCCTGCACACAAATGGTGATTGTGTGATCTTACTGTCTGGTTTCCAACAAGCAAAGTCAACGGGGGAAGCCAGATTCGCTTAACAGCCACGTTGTTCATTTAATATGGGTCTAGGAATTTAGGAAATTTCCTAAAAAAACATAACTTTCAGTGCTTTGCTTAACAACCATGGCAAAAAAAGCATATAAAATCAGTTGTAACAACCCTTCTCGCTTAGCAGCAGGAATTCTAGTGCCAATTCTGGTTGTAAGTCAAGGACTTCCTCTAAAGCCAATCTCAGGTTGCAGAGATAGGAAAGATACGGGCCCAAAACACTGTGGAATTGTTAAGTAAAGGGAGCATGAAGGGACATGCTCTCAATCATTCTCACGACAACTTCCATACACAGCAGTATGTTTATAGAACTGCATACTATAGGCAGTACTGCATCCTGAGTCCTAGAAACTTTTTAGCTTACCTTTTATTTGTCATACTCAAGATTAATCCATTTAAATTTTGTCTTGGGAAAATATATGATGTTAAACGTATTATTTAACAGAGGTAATCATACTAGTTAAATTTGCAATATTAATTATAAAGCAGCTTTACGGCCCTTAACATTTTCTTGGGGTTTTAAATACAGTGCAATAATGTAAAGTCGTATTTCACATCTGGCACCAGTTTCTGAAATCCTCTCCTTTTTAGTCTGTTTCTTAATTAAATATATAAAGCTCTGAGGAATACACAAAAGCCTTTTTGACAATTGCAATCTTTGTCAGAGGTACAGTGGGAGCAAGGCAGATACTCTCATCAGAAATAATGGGAAATATTGTGATAAATACAGTTCTGAAACCGGGGCCATTATGGAGATGAAAAAGCTTATTAATTAATCCTTTTTTTTTTTTTTTTTTGAAAAGTGAGAGATGGGAGTCTTTGATTAATATGAATATTTTCTGTGGGCTCCTTTACCTCATTTTCTGAAAGATAATATCCACATAACTCCAATTCAAATCAATATCTGAAGAATAAACAGAAATATGTCGTTCCTTCTGCTTCCAGATGTTTCGAATACTTAATTTTTCCCCACTGACTTCAACCTGGTTGTCTCCTCAGAAAGTATGCCAGCCTTCTTTCCTGGCAGTAGAAGTGTTTTTCCCGTAATGCCGTCTTAATTCCCAGCAGGAAGAACCTGTTAACCAGAGCAAGTAAAACTTCCTTTGAGAAGCCACCAATGCTGTGTTTCCTTTTCCTTCCAGAACAATGCCACAGAAGAGGTTGAAGAGGTAAAAATCGACTTGGTGGGGGCACCTAACCTACCGTCTTAATCACTGACCATGGAATTAGAATTGCACATTCCTTGAGTCCTTTACCTTTATCTACTCACACACAGACACACAAATACACAGGCACACACACCCTCAGACATGGCACACCCACCCCCTCTGTGTCCAACTGCTGCCAGCCTATGATTGGTCTAACCATTCTGTGAATGAAATTGAAGCATCTTATGGAATATATTATATATAAACGTCTAACATACCTTTCATGGGACGGTACAATGGTGAAGCTTCTCTGGCACGCTCACCAGTGTTTTTTGTTTTCAGTGACTTTTTTGAAACTTGTATTGGATGAATTGGCAATCGCTGAATTGTCAGTTGAAAACCCATCCTAGTCGTCGTTACTCACATTTTTTAAAAGAAAATATATGGGGGGTGGGGGTAAGCAAACTCTTGAAATCTCATCATTGATAAGCAACAGCCAGAGAGAATTCTTGGTGAAGCATCTCCGTTCTCACTTTAGTGAACTTGTAGTGTCCAATCACATAACCTTAAGTGGTGGTATCATGTTTAAGCAAAATGGTGGTGGCATACTTTGATTTTTATCAGAATTATATTCATTCATTCATTCGTTCAGGGGAAGTTGATCAATGTTAGGTGTTGCTGTATATCCAGTCCTCTTCGTAAGATATTACTGTATATCCATCAGACTTTAATAATATGTATACAAAAAAGAAGAAGAAACAACATTGGTTTTATATTCTATTTGGCTTTTAAAACTCCAGCTTGCTTTTACAGATTATATTGTCTCCCTTTCCCTCCTTTTGGCCTAAATGTTTCTGTTTGTCAAAAAAGAAGTATTTTTTAAAAAGAAGCATTTAAAAATACAATCGTTTATGCACCAAAGTTGGCTATGAAAAGAATTAAATTGCTTCCTCACTTTATTAAGCAAGGATTTACGATTTTTTTTTTAACCCTACAGAAATAGAAAACTTGTGTACTTTGTCTTGTATTGAGACAAAAAAAAAGTTGCATATAGAGAATGAGACATTGCTTGTAAATAGTTTTGCAGATTTGTAATATATTTTTATATCACAAAATGTAGATGTTTTTCCCTAGAGGCATGGAAGTTAAAATGTATATATTATGGTAGAAATAATATTGAAGGATATTGTATGTCATTAGCGCTGCCAGAATTTGTTTAAAGCAAGCACCTTTCTTAACAATAATATGTCTCTTGGATTTCTAAGAGACTCTATACTACTGTTAATAAGAACAAAACACATTGATATCCTTTCAGAAATCTTTGAAGGATGCATAATATCCATAGAAGGTTTATAGCACCTCACTGCTGAACATGGATATGAAATCAATCTTTTTCCTTGCTTGTTGGAAGGAACAAATGTAAAATAAATGACTTAATAAGGTGGCTTATATGCAGTCAAACTGCATGTTTAACCTAACCCTTCCTGTTTAGGAGGATTTTGTTTTTATTTTTATTTTATTTTATTTTTTGCATTACTACAGCGACTTTTTTACACTATTTTTTTTTTTTAATTAAACAGCAAATAAATTAAAGTCTAAAGTTTTGGGAGATAGAAGGTTGTTGTTTTTTTTCCGAATTGTATAAGGAGAGCTGCCTTAATGAAGGTAAAATGCTTGTTTGTTGCCTGGTGGATTTAGAATGTTTTCACAAACATTTAAATTTTATTATTGTGCAGATTTAGAAGCACTGCTGACATGGAATGGTTTTGGAATACCGTAGTTGTTTGACAATGGTATTTCATAAAGATCTGTGGCAATGTTAACTATTTAAAACAGATGCCGTGTTTGTTTTGTCTTTTGTTTTTAATTTTTGCTTAAGCACTTCAGTTACTGCTTTATCTTCATTAAATGGTCATCTGTAATTGCTTGGGTTCCCTTTCTTTACATTGCCAAATAGGTGTTTTTCAGATATAGTTTGTATTTGTATTTTTTTAAGTCTTATTGTTTCATGAATCTCTTGTATGCCATTCATAATTGACAGATGATTGTAGACTTTTCTGGAGTATTTTTTCTAATAAAAGAAAGCAAACGCAACTACGGTTTAAGGTTTTTGAATGCCATTTACATATTGCAATACCACTTTCCATTACAAAGGTTCCCAAAGCAAGACTTCAAAATAAAAATGAGATTTAAAAAAAACAGAATAGAGGCCAGGATTAACTTACTTCATTGAAAAACAACCACGGCTACGCTTCGACTTATAACCATTACTTTAGTGACCAATCAAAGTTACAGCAGCACTGAAAGAAGTGACTTATGACCATTTTTCACATTGCCATTGCACCATTCCCTGTGGTCACATGATCAACGTTCTGGTGCTTGGCAACTGGCAAGTACATATGACAGTTGCACTGTCCTGGGGTCACGTGATCGCCATTTGTAACCTTGAGCAGAGTCAGTGGGGGAAGCAGTGATTTGTTTTAACAGCTGTGGCAAAAGGTCGTAAAATGGAGCTTAACCACTCTGCTTAGCAATGGAAAATTAAATTACCAAGGCACTTAAAATGCATTCCTGAACACCAAATGAGCCTTTCTTCGGGTGTTGTTTTTTTTTTAAAGGTCTCTTTAGATAGAAACCATGTTTCAATATTCATCGTGCTTTAATTTTTCTTTTTTTTAAAGATAAGTTAAAAGCTGGCTAAGTGATGCCTTCGGCTATCACCAAGTCTCAATTCGGCCTCAAATCCTAATGTTTTTATGGACACGTTGTAGAGTTGTGCTTTAACGATAACAGAAACTCATCTGAAAACTAGGCCTTCCAAGAATTCTTTTTTTTTTCTCCCAACTTTCCACTCTACGCTGTAACCCAGCCGTCTTTCTTGGGTTTCACCTGCTTAGGTTTTCAACCTCAGCCAAGGTCACTTCATTCTGCCACCTGCTATAAATCTGAATGCTTCCATTTTCTTCCAAAGGGTACCAATCTGGCCCTTTGAAGGATGCTTGTGAAGGACAAAAACACCCATTTATCAGAAGGCAAATTGATGAGGTTGCCATCTATCACCTTGTGCAGCTTTCCAAGTATTCTCTCCCTAGGCAAGGTTTGACTGGGTTGTAACCAATAGCATCCCCCCCACCTCCAAAATGCCTCTACAGTATACTTACACCTCTTATCTTATAAACACTTGAAAAACAAACAAACAAACAATACATAGAGCAGAAAATCATGACAGCCAATTTGGTTCATTGGTTAAAGCATTGGACTAACTAGGATTGAAGTCTCCAAACTTGGCAATTTTAAGACTTGTGGACTTCCAACTCCCAGAATTCCTCAGCCACTATAGCTGGCTGAGGAATTCTGGAAGTTGAAGTTCACAAGTCTTAAAGTTGCCAAGTTTGGAGACCCCTGAACTAGGAGATTGAAGTTTTAGTCCTTTCTCCCTTAGGCATGAAAACTGACACTCCAGCCAACTCACAAAAACAGAAAAGAGGTGTAGGAAAACACATTGTACATTGCCTTGAAAATAAAGTGGGGGATATACCTCAGATAAATGCTTGGCAGTGAATACGATGCTTAGCTGCACACATTTATGTGTTTTCCGTGTTTAGTTTTGAATGTAAAAAGCTTTGAAAACAAAATAGAATTAGGTAAGACGAGAATTTAGAGAGTCCAAAGAGACTTCCAAGTTGGGGTGTTTGGTGTTCAGGAATGCATTTTAAGTTCCCTGGTAATTTAATCTGACGTAGGGTGTGTCTTTGGCTAAAATGTCTCCTCCATTTACTAATATATGGGAGAGAGGCTTGTGAGGCAAAGCTATTTTCCCCAAATCTCTATATTTCTGTTTCCATTCAACATAGAGCAGGTTTCAGCTACTCTCTCTTAAAAGACTTGAATAAATAAGCAAAAGTCTCTGAACTCAAGTTTTACCTGAGGACTTCAGGATTTCTCTCCTTAAAACCCAAATGTCTGTTTTCAGAGAAAATCATCCAACAAGGGAATGATCTTGGACAGTTCTTCTGTTCAGGGAAAATAGACATACAATTGAGCTTAGCTCTGCTACTGTCTTCCAATTGCATGCTGAACCTTGGCTGGGTTAATACCATTTAATCTGACAATTGCTTCCCCTGTGATGAATTATTTGTGCTTCTCTGCGATTCAGGCTCTCTCCTTTATGACCCCTGACCAGTGAGAATGAAAAGAAACAAACTGTCATCACTGAATTAAAAAGCCTGTACGCTTCAATATGAAAGCACAAGTACTTAAACCCTTGCTAACTTTACCAATTGTTCTCTGGACTGTCCCTCTATCTGGCTTTGTTCCTTCTCTTAGAACATAGGATAATAGGGTTGGAAAGACCTTATTCTAATCTAGTCTAACCACCTCCCATGGCAGGAGCCCGGAAAAAAATGGCTGTCCAATCTCTCTTGAAAACTTCCTGAGATGAAGTAGCCACACTTTCTGGAGCCAAGTTGTCCTACTGATTAATTATTCTCACTGACAGGAAATTTCTCCTTAGTTCAAGAGGGGTTCTCTACAACCACGAAACAGGAAGCACCAAACCTGCAGAGCCCAGAAGATTAAATAACACCATAAACAAATAACAGGAATATGTATGGCAGCTCACAACCCTGATGCTTTTAATTAAATACCCCTTTTCAAACCAAACCAAACCAAAATATTTTCTATTACAATTATTCGTTGAGCATGCAGAGCAGTTAGCTTTGGGCTCCTTCAATTTGCAACAAAATTTAGTTTCTAACTTCCTTAGGGCTACAGATATCTGGGAAATGGTAGCAAAGAGAAATATAAAATGTGACTGCCATCCAACAGTTGGTTTTCTGGATTTTCCCTTAGGCACAGGGGCCTGTTGCTACTGTCTCTTGACCACCTGCACTCAGGTTGATCCAATGACTGTTCTTGGTACTGTTGTTGGAGTCCAATAGTGTCTCATCCAGAGCAACAAAATTATCAAGAAGCAATAAATACTCAGCAAGGATCTATTTTCAGAAGCAGTTTTCTCTTGACTCTTTGTCAACCCTGAAGCTGACCTGACCGAAGCCATGTTGCCACACTGGAGCTAATGGATAAAGGCGGCAGAAATAGAAATAGTTGGGGTTTTGTAGCCAAAACAAAATACTTACCCCTGGGAACTAAGGACATTCCCACAGGTGGCCAAAGAGAGGAGGTTACCAGGCAACCAGCCGGTACCTTCATTGGACCATGTGACTGACTGGGAAAAGGGATTTTTTTTTTAATTTGGTGAAAATCGTGGGAACATGCAGAGTTGGTTTTCACCAAGTTGTGCCAATATGATACAGCCAATAAACCCATTCTTTGAGGAATCTACCTGCCTCAGAGTTCTGTTTGCGATGTGTCTATTACTTGGAACCCTGACATTCTTTCTGGAAGAGTAGTGAAAACAGACATTATTAGGTCTGCAGAGGATTGTATCCAGAAATTAGTTCCTTTTCATAACTAATTTTCCAGTTTAGCACCCCTTTGAGGCGTATATCTAATCCATTTTATTACATCTTTTCATGGACAAGTGCTGTAACATCCTTCCCAGACATTTTATTCCGGTGAAAGAACAGGTAATAGCTTTTGTGTATGTCAGAATTTTTATTCGCCTAACACTTCACCTCATCAGTGGCTCCATCTGTATAATGTGGAGAGCTTGTCTCCTTTTCATTGTAATTAGCTTCTTACTTATTAAATAACTTCTAAAGTTATTAGAAGCCAGCACCCAGAAGGCAATGTGTGCCCCCCCCCCCCTGCTGCACTGCACCTCACAGCTGATCTTTTTCAGCCTCCCAGAGGCTTGAAAAAAAGCCTCTGCAGGCTTTGTTGGCCGAATAATAGGCCAGTTTCATCACTTCCGGTATTATGGGAAGTGATGAAACATGTGTATTATTCAGCCTGCAAAGCCTTCAGAGGCTTTTTTCAAGCCTCTGGGAGGCTGAAAAAGGCCTCAAACCAGCCAAAAAAATCAGCTGGGAGGCGCGCGCATGCACATTGAGGTAAGTGCCTGCAGCTCATGTGCCAGCACAAATTGCTCTGCATGGCATCTGTGGCACGCATACCATAGGTTCACCATCACAGCTCTGTACCATTTCCATACCAGAGCCATAGTGGCACAATCGTTCAAATGCAGTATTGTAGGCTAACTCTGCCCACAGCCAGGAATTCAATCCTGACCAGCTCAAGTTTGACTCAGCTTTCCATCTTTCCGAAGTCAGTAGAAAACATGCGTCATGTTGCTGTCACGTGATGTTTTCCCCGTTCGTGTACCTGGAGTGGACGTGGCCTGCACATTACACATCCAGCCCATGGGCCGCCAGTTTGAAACCCCTGACCTAGGTTGTTGAAGGCAATATGCTGCCATAGTAAACCACTCGGAGAGTGGTATAAAGCACTATGGAATGGTATATAAGTCTAAGTGCTATTGCTATTTCAGACAAACGGTTGTCCAATTTCTTCTTAAAAACCTGTAGTAATGGAGCATCACAACTTCTGGAGGCAAGTTATTCCACAGATTAATTGTTCTCAGTTTACTCCTTAGTTAATTACTCCTTAGTTCGAGGTTGGTTCTCTCCTTGTTTAATTTCCATCCATTGCGTATTCTGCCTTCAGGTGCTTTTTACAATAAGTTCATCTGCTGTTCTTTGTGGCAGCCCCTTAGATATTGGAATTGCTACTACTATGACCTTTTTATTAAATTAGACATACCAATTCCTGTAACCATTCTTCCTAATCTTTTGGATGATCTTGGACCAGTCACTCTCTCTCAGCCCTTGGAAGAAGGCAGTGGCAAATCACTTCTGCAATCTTGCCACGAAAATTACAAGAACTTGTTGAGGCAGCCAGCCATTAGTAGCCAACAATGACTCAAAGGCATGTATGCTAAATATGCTAAATTCTAAAATAAGCATTTGCTGAAATCAAGATTTGCAGTAGGTAGCTTGGTGCAATGAGATAGATTGAGAAGTCAAACATGTACATCAAAATTAAGAATAGTCCACCATGTCATAAATCTCCAAATAGTTTAAACAAATACTGATATTCTTGTCGCCACCAGCAAAAACAAGTAACCTACTTTT